AAAAAAAAAAAAAACAACAAAAACACACATTTTCTGTAATGGTCTCTGATTAGTTTTTATAATCAGAGCCCAAAAGAAAAATTATCACAAAACTGAAAAACATGATGCATAGAAGATTGAACTCTCTATTAATGAAAAAAACTAACTTAATAACACTGTAATGATGAGAAAATTAACTTAAAACAAAATATTTCATTTTTAACCATTCAAGATACTTGAAATTGTTTTTATGTGCATTTGTTTATATGCCACCCACTCACTAAAGAGATTGCAGGCATTTAATTGGGAATTCAATAGAGTTTGGACCTTATTTCTAGGCATTATCCCTTCATTTTCGCTAAATCCAGAAACAGAAAAAATGCTCAGGAGATAATTTGTCTGCAAGGTACTAATCTTCAGAACCCAAAAGCTAGAAAACCATAGGTGTCCATTCATCCTTTCTCTTTCCATGAGTCCAGAGTCCTCAGCTGCTCCCTCTCTCCATGTCCTCATCTCTGCCTCCCTCTCTGATGTGGCTGCTTCTTTAGATAGGGTCCCACATTCCTCTTGTGCTCTTCTCCTTTGATGGTCCTAGGGTAGTCTGGTCTGGGAATGTTAGATTAACTACTCCTCCCTTTTTATTATAAAGATTTTACCTTTACAGTTTTATAATACCATAATTGATATTTGCAATTAGTCATGATAATAATTACTCACTATTGAATCATAAGATTCTTATCCCCATCTCCTTTCACCAGACCCGTCTAGTCAAGATGAAAACCTCAGTGGGGATTCTACCTTCCCCTGCACACTCTGAAACTAAAGTTCCTCTTGAAAACTTATAAGCCAGTCATTTTGTGCCTTTATAGCTTCCCCCCGCCTCTGCCATTTTAGGTAGCCAATGTCTAAGTTGCCCATCCCTTTCAACCTTGTATCCAGAAAGGATAGGATTTATCCTTGTTGTGAAGACTCCGTCCCTCTCAGTTTATATTTTGAGCTACTATATCCTTAAGCATAGGTCAAGTTCCTCAAATTGTAGCACTTTACACTTGTTTCCTTTATCAAATTTTGTATATCTTCCTCTAGTTTCTAGCTAGGTCAGATGGGTACTATCTGCAAGTATGGACATTCTTGTGTGTCTTCCCTCACTAATGTGTTTATTTGTGTAGGGTTGAACTTTGGAGAGAACCAAGCAAATCCCTGGGCATCAGCATTGTTGGTGGACGAGGGATGGGGAGTCGCCTAAGCAATGGTGAAGTCATGAGGGGCATTTTCATCAAGCATGTGCTTGAAGACAGTCCTGCGGGCAAAAACGGAACCTTGAAGCCTGGAGACCGAATAGTAGAGGTACTCTCCGCTGAACTTCTGTGACAATATTTTCCACCCAATCCATCCCCATTACCAAATTGCCAAGGGCATTGTCATTTTAACACTGGATCCTTAACCCAACATTAGCACTAAAATGTGGTTGTGGTTGAAGCATTTCTGTTTCTTTTTTTCACCGGTAATACTCTTTTCTCCATGTAATGACAGAATGCATGTCTTGATATAAGATACTCACATTTGGACATAAAATGGTATAATCAACCATTTTAAAAAGCATTGGATCTAGGGTCAACTAACTAAATTCTTTTTGAAAGAATAAAGCAAATTTCTTGAGAAAAAAAAAAATATTGCTTAGAATTCTACACCCACACATACTCTAAATGTATGCATCCTAATTAGACTCTCCTATTTCAAGAAATAGTTCATCACTTTCCTGTTATAATAGACCAACATTGTTGGATGGCAGTTTTTTCCAAGTGGTAACATCATCTTTGTGGAGACTCTGATTATCTTGGATATAAATGTTGCCCCTCAAGCTATGGCTAGATTTTTCTCCAGTGTACTGTGTCCATTTACCACTGGTGTATGTGTGTGTGTGTGTGTGTACATGCAATGTATCTACACAAGTATGTGTGTCTTGTTCTGTGCAAGAGAGAAGCATTTTGGCCAAAATACCTAATCCCTTAATTCAGAGAACGTTTAGTATTTTAAATAAACTCTAATCTCATGAATCACTCATGAAATTACACAACACATGTTCCCAGAGCAACTGCTGTATTCCAGCTGCTGTAACAGGCTTCTGAACATTGCTCAGTAAACCAGACACAATGCCTGTTTGTCAAGTGGAGGAGACTGGACAAGTGATTAAATCCCTTAAATTGTTTGATCCGATAAATAGGGCTAGAAGAGGGGTGCCTGACCCAGACTTACTGAGTTTTCAAAATGTATAAAAAAACTTTCATCATGCCAATTTCAACTCATAGCAACCCTTTATAGGGTTTCTGAGAGTGTATATCTTTATGGAAACAGAAAGGCTCATTTTTCTCCCACAGAGTGGCAGTTGGGTTTGCAGTATTTACTTTGTTGTTGGCTGTTGTTGGTAAGTGTCATCGAGTTAATTCTGACTAGTGCTTATCCTACAGTGCCACCAGGACTCCTAAGAGTAGACTGACTGTAAGAGACATGTTTCAAATGGAAACATTCCGATGTGACTGGAAAACTCACTGCCATAGAGTTGGGTCTGACCCTCAGCAACACTGCAGGACAGAATAGAACTGCTCCTTGGGGTTTCTGAGGCTCTGAATCTTCATGGGAGTGGACAGCTTCATATTTCTCCCATGGAGCAACTGTTGACCTTGGGGTTAGCAGTCCAATGCATACCCCAGTACACCACCAGGGCTCCGCTACCTCATTCCTATGATGACCATTGTTGTTGTTGTTAAATGCCCTTGAGTCAGTTCAGACACACGGTGACCCTGTAGAAGATTTCTGAGACTTCTTCAAGGGAGCACAAAGCCTCATCTTCCTCCCACTGAGCGGCTGGCAGGCTCGAACCACAGACTTTGTGTTTCACAGCCCAACAGTCCAGTGTTTATCATATGGAGTCACTGTGCTCCTATAGCACCCATTATATTGACTTTAAACAAGTGACTGTCTCTGTTTTCCACAATCTCCCTGCAACTTGCATATTAAATTGTCTTCATTATGTTACAATATGTAGAAGGCAGTTACAATATATCAACTATGACTTAAAATGAGTATTTGAGAGATTTATTTAATTATGCATTACTCCGTTGATTGATTGGTTGTCTTTGAGAATTGAAGAGTGTGGAAGATTAAAAGTAAGAGGAAGTAAGGCCCATGTATATTTTTGTTTTGATTTGTGTTTGTGACCGTTTATAAAGGTCACCCTTGCCTTTCATTAGGTGATATCTTTAGCTCCATTTGGAGAACAATCATTTCCAGTTTTAGATTATTACAAGGCAGTTTATTTTACTCACACTTCACCATTAAATACTTTTGACCTTAATAGAAAGAGTAAGACATATTTATAATTATTGCTAATAAGGGTTGATTATAATGTATACCAAAATACAAAAGTGAAAGTATCACTTTCAAATGAAAAATAAAGTCGTATTTTGAGCTGTAAAATACTACATGCAATTTAGCAGTGATTTATTGAATGCTGCTCTGTACGGTGATTTCCTCTGTTGTTGTTGTTAAGTGCCATGGAGTCAGTTCCCTTGATAGGCTTTCTGAGGAGCAGCATAGATAAGAAAGCCCGTCTTTGTGAGCCTACAGTGTCTGAAAATGGAGGCCGACTAGATGAATTGTTGTTGTTGTTGTTGTTGTGAAGTGCTGTCGAGTCGGTTCCGACCCATAGCGACTCTGTATAGGGTTTCCAAAGAGCAGCTGGTAAACTTGAACTACCAACCTAACAGTTTAAATGACTTTGCAGTCTGACCCATTAGCCCACAGGGCCACATGAAGAATGGAAACCTAAAAAGTACTGCATCCTGAGTTGGAAGTTAAATTTAGGCACTATGGGAATACATAATTGATATGAATGCTGACTTTTGTTCTATTAAATAATTAGAAGCCATTTTTAACATATTCTAAAAAAGGTGTTGTCATCTAAGTACTAACTTGAAGGAAATTTAAAGCTAAGTATATATAATTCTTTTTTTAGGTGATAATGTTCTGTGTAAAGATCTAATCTTTTTTTTCCCCAGGATCAAATTAACTCCACTCTGATTTTACTCCTTTATTGTACATATCATAAGCGAGAACTTCAGAAAGTTCATGGAAAAATTCTATTATCTTTTGATTGCATTTTTCCATGAACTTTTTGTAGCCCCTTCATATTGTGGTCATTGGAAATGATATAAAGGTAAATAGCTTCTGGTAGTTTCATGACATGATTAGCATTTGGCCTCTCAATTTTTTCCTTCTTATTCATATAGTGCTTACGCTGAACAGAGCACTCCCCAGGCAAGCCAAGGTCAATAAAAAAAATGACTAAATAACTTTCATTTTCAAGCAATTCATATCAGGTACTAACAAATAAACAATTTCTTGGCTTCCAGTTCCTGTCACATCTGCCAACTGCACAGATTTTTTTGCAAAACTAACATGACCATAACATGATTGTCTGGATGTCAGAAGGTTTTGTTTTTTCCTTACTTCATGCTCCATTATGCAGAGATATAATACTCACATATCACTGACCCACTCCCCAAAACACCCTATAATGAATTGAAAAAACTTAGTGCCGGGATTTCCATGAGGAAGGCCGTGCAGCTAACCAGTTCCCTTGTCTTTTTCTTCTTCTTTCGTGATGTTGACTCAGTAATTAGAAGGAACAGCTGAACAGCAGAAGGAAAGTGAAGCTAAGTATTAGTTCATTTGATGACTGGGCACAGAGCGAGATTGGTGGCCAAAACAAGGGACCATAGGTCGGCAAGCGGGATTACAAGTTTTGGAGCCTCTCAAGTTAGTCTTAATTATATTTGATTCTGAAACAGATTTTCCAGGAGACTAATGACACTCCTCAACACTCCAGATCCACACATTGTTCTGTTGTTCTGTAGCTTCTTGTTATGTTAAGCTGAGGCCTTCCATTGCAGGTGGATGGAATGGATCTCAGAGATGCCAGCCATGAGCAAGCTGTGGAAGCCATTCGGAAAGCAGGCAACCCAGTAGTCTTTATGGTACAGAGCATTATAAACAGACCAAGGGTAAGCGAACACAGAGGGCAAGGTAGGCATATCCAAACAGTATTCAACTTGGGAGCTAATCCATCAAGAGCCAAGTTGTCTGTCTTAGCAAAGATACCAGTTTTTGAAATCTCAGATGTCTTGTTAAACGTTTGCTTTTTTTTTTTTTAAATGAGTTATCTCAGAAATACCTTCGAATGTGTTTAATAAAGACTTGAAATGTGTTGAAAACACACAGAAATAGAATTTCTTGATGGCCATGCTGTCTACATGGGTAATTATGAGTACTCATTATTTTAACAAAAGACAAATTGCTCAAAGGAATGCGGTGTAGTGCAGTTTAATAATCAGTGACCTCCAGTGGAAGTCCCTTAGAAACCAGAAAAGTTACTTTCTTTTTATAAATTTATTCTCTAGACAGAATTTTCAACTTGTGCAATCCCCTGTTACTGATCTTGAATGGAATTTGTATCTCTGAACATAAAAATTTGACTGTGTGGATTCTACTGAAGTGTTATTTACTAGTACTGTAAAACTGCTGTGTCTCAGCCATGGCCAATGTATAACTTGTTTATATCATGTGACCTTGGTGGAAAGAAACCTACTAACCCATTTACCATCAGTCTTCACAGGTAAATGGCTTTAAAAATATTTTAGAAAACACAAAATCATTTAGTGAATGTTACTGAGAGGAATGATTCTATAATGTTGTATGAGGCTTTGTGTATTTTATGTCTTACTGATGCCAAAACTGAAAATTAGTTTAGAGCTTAAAACTACTCTTTTCTTTCTTTAGGCTTTAGTGAAAATATATATGTTGTTGTTGTTGAATGCCTTTGAATCGGTTCTGACTCATAGACCCTGTATAATGTTTCTGAGGAGCAGCTGGTGGGTTTGAAGTGCTGACCTTGTAGTTTGAAGACCAGTGGCTGATCCTACAGAACCATACAAGGAGTCCAATATATATATGTATATATATAACCCCAAATCTCAGTGTCATTGATTTCAACTCAGAGTGACCATATAGAACAGTAGAAATGACCATGTAGTTTCCAGGGCTATAAATGTTCACAGATGCTGACTGCTACATCATTTCCTGAAGTCAAGCACGTCACCACTGTGCTAAAGGAGATCCTGTTTTTAAAAAGCTTATAGCGCCCAAATCTATCTTTAAGTCATATTTGTATGTAAGTAGGACCAGTTAAGTATGTTCCATATCTAATGTGAGTTAGTCAAATATGTGTGTTAGTGTATAATATATAGAGTCCTGGTGTGGTGCTGTGGGTTAATGGGCTGGACTCAAAGTTGGTTTGAACCACAAGGTCGGCAGTTCAAGCTCACCAGCGGCTCTTCTTGTTGTTGTTGTTAGGTGCCATTGAGTCGGTACTGACCCATAGCCACCCTATGCACAGTAGAACGAAACACTGCCCTATTCTGGGCCATCCTCACTACTGTTGCCACACTTGAGTCCATCGATGCTGCCACACTTAGGGAACCCTACATAGGATCACTATGATTGGAAACAACTCAATGGCACTTAACAACAACAACAATATATAGGTGCAGTTCAAGCTCACCAGCTGCTCTTTTGAAACCCTATACAAAGTCACTATGGGTCAGAACCGACTTAACCGCACTTAACATCAACAGCAACACACTATATAGTTACCCCCACTTTTCAAAAGTTCACTTTACACCACTTCACTTTTACAAAAGACCACCATTAGTTTTCGCTAACCAAAAGAAATCAAAAGAGAGTTTTTACTTTTCCGGAAAAAAAGGCAAAAGCAAAACTGGTGCTCAGCATTTGTTTTGCAGGGAGCCATTAAAGAGGCAGCTTGCACCCCAAGTAGATAGAGTGGCCTCGCCAAGCTCCTTCCCCAGGAAGTGTTCTACACACAGCGTCTCAGCATTGAGCCCCATCTCTGTGAACTGGACTTGTGAGCATTGTTAGGACTATTTTAGCTTGTATGTGGTATTGGGTGTGATTTGGTAGGTTGTTCTTTGGGTATGGGAACTCCCATATAAGCAAATGGTAATTTCTTCTCTTTACCCTAAGTTTCCTAGGAATAGTCTATTTTTAGATGGTGGGAAAACCTATATACTTAACTTTACTGCACCTAGAAAACATCAAAGCAACACTTCCACATATACCAAAGCATCTCTACCATAACCAGGCAGTGATAATAATGCTTTGATGCACATCTCAAAGTAAAGCCCATTTGTTATTATTATAAGCCATTATATGGACCTCAAAATTTTTATTGATAAGGGCGTTGGTGTATAACTAAAAGCTGTATTTTTGTAACCCAAGAAGTGCCTATATGTTGTTGTTGTTGTTAAGTACTATTGAGTCAGTTCTAACTCATGGTGACCCTGTGTAGGGTTTCCAAGGAGCAGCAGGTGAGTTTGAACCACTGACCTTGAGATTCAAACTGACCTTATGGTCCAGTGCTTATCCTACAGTGGCAGAGTGCTTTCTAAACATATTTGGGTCATAAACCACCCTTTTGAGACTTTATTTTCCCTCTGTTCAAAAACATTTGCATTCATTCAAGATTTGCGTATCAACTTAAGAGTTCCTTAGCTGTTCTGAAGCTTTTAGAGTATCCACTTTGACTTTCAGTTAAGGACCCGTCCATCACTTAATTTTCTTTGAATGGCATGATTGCTAGCTCTTAGAGTTGGTTGTCTTTAAAAGAAAAATATCAACCAGGACTTAGAACCGATTCATTTTGGTTCAACCCTTTGCTGAATGTTTGCATTTTTTCAGTTAAGGACCCCATCACTTAATTTTATTTGAATTGCTTGATTGCTAGCTCTTAGAATTGGTTGTCTTCAAAAGAAAAATATCAACCAGGACTTAGAATCAATTCATTTTGGTTCAGCTCTTTGCTGAATGTGTGCATTTCCACTGCAGATACACTGAATCAGAATCTACAGTTTAACAAGATCCCCAGGTGATTCTTTTGTGATCTGGGTATGTGGCTTATGAATATGTAAGAAACACCCAGGGATGTATGCGAACTGCCTCAGCATCTTGGTAAACTGTAGGCTCTGATTCAGTATATCTAGGGTAGAAATGCAATTTCTCAGCAGGGGGTGGGACCAGAATGAAGTGATTGCAAGCCCTGATGTCAGCCCATGTGAGGGCAGTTAGAGTTGCTGTATAAATTCAAACTGTGCACGGCACATAACAACAACAACAATTTTTGTTCATAAAGTACTTATGATTTGACCTTTTAAATAAAGCATATAAGATATTAATGTGTAGGATATTAATGCAAATAGCTCCATAGATGATCTATCAGGAAAAGTGACTTGTGAATATGCTGTTCCCTGGAATTCAAACAGCATGACAGGCGTTATCCTAGAGGTCCTTCCTTTCATTGTCAAGACAGGTGTAGCTCTAGTCTGGGTTCATTGTAAGGAATGAATTTAGTAGTTCTTAATGTATTCAGTTATCTTCACATCTGCAGTTCTTAATCGTTCCGTTGTTGATTGTTAGGTAATAATTATCCATTCAGATGAGAAAATCTTCCAAATGGTAGAACTGTATCATGCAGTATTCTTTTACAAATGCTATTCAGTTTGTTTAAATAACTACAAATCGTTTTACGTTTGTTTCTACTTAATGTGTCAAACGTAGACACAGCATGGTAATGCTGGTAAATGCCTCTTTAAGTTAAGTTAAAACTCATTGTTTTCTTTTGAGGGGGAGTAGGTTTCATTCCATTTTCTGTTTTATTTTTAATTTCCAACTTTTATATTATTTAGAATAATACTATAAACTGCTGCATAGTGATTTTAACTATTAATTTAAAAACTTAAAGTATGAAGATTTCTTTCAATCTAGACACATTCTTCTGTTGAGCTGGAAAGATATTGTCTTATACACCTGGATAATAATCTTATTTTACTATCAGAGATATAATGACACTGATTTTATAGCAATTATTTCCAAGATAAATCTAGTTTAGAATGACACATTTAGGCTAGTTCAGTTCATTTTGGTTTGGAAAATCAGAATTAATTTAGCATTTAAAATGAGGTACGCTTTGTTTCCAATGATTTACTTCCCTGTGGTGATAATCATGTCTCCACACTAATCTAAAGGGGGAAGAAAATCACAATGCACATACTTAAGAGTCTCTTAATGGTAAATGTTTTATATGTGGCTGTAGAATAATGCTTCTAGAAAACCTTATGCATAGGCTGAAAAGCCAGTGAATTTCTTTGGCTCTTAGGTGTTCAAGAATCGAAACTGCCCAGAACCACTACCATTTACTGCTGAACCAGCTGTGACTCATGGGGACCCCCGGTACTCCATCGGGTTTCCAATGAATGATTTTTTCAAACCTAGATCACAAGGAGTCTTTGTGTGGGCTTGAATAGTTGTTGGTTTAGCACTTGAGCCCATTAATCATTGTACCAACCAAGGAACCAGAACTAGCCCAGATAATTCCACCCGTATGAGCAAAATGATCCCACTGGCATGGAGTCTATTCCAGCTTATAGCAACCCTATAAGTCAGAGTCGAATGCCTTGAAAAATTACCAGACTGAAAGCCATCCACATGAATAGGGGCCAAAAGATGTGTTTATCTTCCCTGTGCTCTCTTCTAAATTTATAACATGTCAGCTTTATCAGCCCTAGGGACTATAAACAGTTTAGTCACTGATTTTTAAAAAAAATAAGACATAGAGTCTGTTTCTACAAATCTTTACCTATTAACAAAGTGATGTTCCATTTCATCTGCTGAGCTCATGCTGTACTTTCATATTCTGCTCTCAGGAACAAATTCTAATCCTATAAGAGCTGCAAATTAAAAACTAAACACACCACACAAAGAGAAAAATGAAGAGCTCTCCTCTTTAGTGTTAACTATTCCGCTTCTCACCATTATGACTTCATTGTGTGTTGTTCTACAGAACTCCAAAGGATGCTTACAAACAAAAACTTCCATCTTGAGTTCCTGTTGCCTAGAATAGGTTCTCCATCTCTGCCTACTCATTTCTTCCACCTTACTAAATGGTCATGTTCCTTGCCATGCTTGGTCTTCCCTTTTGTAAAGCAGCAGTTGACATTTTACTTGGAAAAGCTGAGAGAAAGTTGAGATGAGCAGAAATGTCACAGTGCCCAGTTCTTTTTCTCATCTTCCTTCTGTAGCAACAACACTGGAAGACAAGCAGATTGACGGGGAATGTGGCACTGAGGATAGTTTTCCCAGAGTGTGCTCCCCTACAGGGTGGTGCTACAAGACAACCTTTCCCTACACTTGATGGCTGCCAGTAGGCCTCTTTTATAGAGAAGTAACACATTTAATTGGAGCCAAAATGGATCTTAAATGTTGATGGTTCCTCTTGAAAAATACAGTCAATAAAAGAGAAAGATAGCGAGTGTGAAAAGGATAAGAATTTATTATGCTAAGAAAATGGCTTTTTTTTTTTTTTTTTTTGCTATGAAAATGCTAAGTTCTGTCTGGCTGTCATCTTGCATCCTGGCTCCAGAGCCATCATAGGCATGCACTAACCTAGGAGAAATGACTCTGAGGCTTCAAATATTATGAATTTCAACAATAATATGGGAAATGTATAAGGATGTGGCCAAGATAAAAATTTCCATCTTGTTAACTCCACAAAAAGTGGGTAGAACTAGAGATGACCACAGTGCACGGGTTAATTTTTGTACAAATTTCCTATGTCATTGAATTTTGTTGTTATTTTTATTTTTATTTTTTTTATTGTGAATTGAGTGAAGGTTTACAAGACAGATAATCAGCTTTACATTCAATAAATCATACACTTCATTTCATTGACATTTAATTTGTTTTTAAATTTAAAAAATTACTGTTGATCTGAAGAAGCCTTACTATTTAGTAAGACTGAAAAGTTTTCTTACTGGGAAACAAGGTCAAAGAATAATGAAGGTTACTAGGGAAGAAACCGACAAATTGTTGTTATAAGTGCAGTCAAGGAGCAGTTGGTGAGTTTGAACTGCCGACCTTGTTGTTCATAGTCCAGTGTTGCCACACCTGGATTTGAATTCTGAAACAGATAGACACACATATATTATTATAGGACAAGCTCTTACGCTTACTGGTGTGGAGGAATATGAATTAATATTAATATATAGAATAGCTGAGAAATATGTGCATATGTCTGGTAGTTAAAACATTCCGTGAAAATCTAAGAAATTTGGGTCATTTAACAACCTAGTTTTCTATATGGTTTGTAGACTGAATTAGACTCAGGTGTCATTAGAGAAAGCCGTTAGTCCCAGACCTTAAAAAAAAAAAAAAAGAAAAAGAAATTATTTACTAGCTGTGACAGAAATTTCACAATTACTTAAACTAGAAAGTTCTTTATTCTTAAAACTGATTATTTCAAATATATTCCTTTTGCCCTCAGCACCTCTTATGTTTCCTTTTAGAAATCCCCTTTGCCTTCCTTGCCGCACAAGCTTTACCCTAAGTACACCTTCAGCAGCACTAACCCATTTGCTGACTCTCTGCGGTTCAACGCTGACAAGGTTGGATAATACCTGTTGTGATTACGTTTTGCAAACGTTTTGTTCTTTGTCACTACTGTGCCTTTATGCCAGTTCTCTGTGTACTAGATCTGGACTGGGGGGAAATAAACCAAACCTTGTTTGTGTGTTTGGAATGTGTGTACATATCCTTTCTTACACTAATTGTATTGCCAGAGCCTGTTCTCCATGGCACTTAACAACAACAACATTCACTTTTATAGCTGAATTTGAGGGTCCTTTTGAAGAGTAAGAGATAATTATTTGTCCAATATATCTTTTCTGTTTGAAGTAATAGAAATGTTATCTAGATTGCATTTCTGTGAGTTGTTAGATATATGAACTCCCCCACATAATTTCTTTAAAACCTTGTATTAGTTTGCATCTTTCTCAAACTTTCTACAAGGTGGTCCTAAAAATAAACAAGCAAAAATGAATCTTAGTTACTCAGCAAATACTGTAAATCATACAGGAGCCTGTTGAATATTTATAATGTGTACCCATGTAAATGCCCAAATCAAGCAACATAATGGTTTCTGTCCTTGTAAGACTATTCTTGGAGATTGTCATATTCTGATGAACTTGGATTGTCAACACTGATGATAAAAAATGTACAAGAACTAATGGGTCATAATTTGGTCATGAAAACAAAGAAAGCTGTCCACTACATCTTTCAAGAGGCATTTTATAAATATTCATCGGGTTTTTATGTTATTGTAATCATGCTTAACCAAAGATACTATACCTAAAGAACTATGTTTTCTGTTACTGTAGGAATTACAGAGTTCAAGTAGAGTTACCTTCCGTTGTTCCCCAACTAACCCCTTTGCTCCCACACCATTTAAGGTTTGTCTCCATGGAAACTGTCATTGAGAAGTGCCTTTACTATGCTGTGCTGTGTGTAGCCTTATACTTCATGTGTGCATGCATGGCATGGTGTGATTTCAAAGTGCAATTTGCGTTTTGCCAGTGAAGGCTAAATAATTTGTATTAAAGAGCTATATGAAGCTGACACATGTAGTCAAATAGAACACCCACTTGCCCCATTGGTAAACACAGGCTTGTTTTAGTTCGATGACCTCATCAGCTGTGTGATTCCAGGTCCATTTACCCCTCATGCAATATAAAAATGGTGCACCAAGCCACATCCCGATTAGTTTTTCAAACAAGCAGATTTTGTTGTCTGTTTGTTTTTTAAGAAAAAGAAAAGCTCAGGAAAAGTGATGCAATAGAATCTTTATAAAAGATTCTAACATTTTATAAGATTCAGTTGGATCTTTATAAAATATGCCGGCATAAATTTATTGAAATGAAGAGAAATTTAAGTTAGATTTTGTTAACTTTTTAATAATGAAATGAGCTTAATTCTTGCTTACTAGTTACATAGAGGAGTTCTAGTGTTGTGATGTAGAATTAACACCGGTCTACTAACTGCAAGGTTGGTGGTTCAAACCCATCTGCCATCCCTCAGAAACCTTACACAGAGTTGATATGAGTTGGAATCATTGACAGTACTTAACAATAAAAAGTTATAAGGAAGTAATTTTTTATGAAAAAAATTTAAACTTATGTACTCTCTTTCCTCTACTGTCTTAGGATTAATGAACCAGCATTGGATCAGATGAAGTTATTTTTTGTCTGTCTATTGACTTTTATTAATATGTTGTTCATTTAAGAGATTTATGGCATACTGTTCAGGAGAACAAGTGTTTCATTTAGGATTTTTTTTTTTTGGTAGGACAGTAGTATATAAACTGAACAATTTAATGCCCCAGATTTTGGAACCTGAAAGTCTATTACGCCCAGATTCTGTCAGCCTGTCTCTCTGAGCTTTGACAGAAAAAAAGGAATTGATATCTATTGGAAGATTTTGAGGTAACTGAGAATCCTGAAATGCTTTCTGCATCATCAAAATAAGATCCCATTCAAGACCAAGTCTTGTTTTAGGCTTATTTTGTGGCACCCAATGCATAAGTCTTAAGCATTGACATATATGCCTATCACTTAATACATTCTATAAGAAGTTATTGTTTTTATCACACTGCTTTTCCAGATATCCACAAATAACCTTAAAAAACAAGGAATCCCAGAGGGGTTTTTGTACTGATAAAACTAAAATAAATAAGACTAGCAATAATAACAACAAAAAATGTGATTCTAAGTCTCTGGACAGACTCACAGCAGGGCTCAACATTTAGCTGGGTGTCCCTGACTCTTGAGTTAGGTAGGATTTCACTGTGGAAATTGGAGAAGACAATATGGTATAATGGGAAGTGCCCTAGAATAGAAATTAAATTTTTAAATGTAGTCCCACTGTGTGATATCTAATAATATCTTTCCCTTCTGCTGGCCTCCGGTAATTGATGTGAAAAAATGAATAAAGATAGCTCAGAGACATTGAAGGGCTTTCAGATTCTAATGTAACGTAAAAACTGGAGGATGCTAAGTCTTTCTTTTCAAATAAGACCTCTAACCCTAAGTAATGGCAAGTCTGCCATGTTTTGCTTTATGTGAAGTGCTTGCTTGTTACCTTGTGCCTTGACAAGGGAATACGGTGCTGTCCTTTAAACCCATGCCCCTCCTGTTTGAGTTTGTGCTCTTTGCTGCCAGATGAGCTCATGTGGTGGTAGATTGATTGAGTCATTTGGAAAGAGGATTCAGGTAACAACAAAGACTTATGTGCACATAGTCTCACTAATAAGCTATGAAGGACAGCTTCTTTGTAATTGTTTTGTTTCATTTCAGTTTCTTGGAAGACTTTTCTGCAAGTCCTCTGAACGTTTATGAAAACGTTGGCATGCGGAGCTTTTATTTTTCCAAAGAGGGGAGTTTGTGCAACTTCTTTCCTCAAGTTATTTAAGCCTTCAAATTGGATAATGCATGGGATTAAAATAGCAAAGAATAGGGCATTCAGTTGTGCTCTGAACATGCTATTTTGTGTACTATATTTAAATGTTACCTGAATCCTATCGAACATTCATGCATTTATGAACTTTCCACTATTCATTCACTGTCAGGAAATGCAAAGCTGGTTTTGTTTTTTTGTTTTTGGTGCTACACTCTTAATTACATTTTCCTTCCTCAGACTGTTCATACCCACCATGTTCTTCTTGTTCCCACAGGCCTCTGGGCAGTCAGACTTGGAGCCAGAAAAGGCTCCGTTGTGCAGCGCACCTCTCTGCTCTCCCTCAGCCTTTGCAGAAATGAGCAGCGATTGTGCACAGCCATCTGCAAGCAAAGCCTCAGTGGATGTGGACAAAGAGGATGAATTTGGTTACAGTTGGAGTAAGTTGTCTTTTTGTGCTTCGTATAATTACAAGAAGTATGAAAATAGCTCAGCATTTCTCCAGGTTTAGGTTCTGGATGAATGCATGTATTTTAGTTTTACTTAAACTTACTGCTTTTCTGGGTGGGAAAAAATTATGATGTGTTTTTTCAATACAACACACATTCCTGACTTATGAGCTCATGTGCTTCCTTTCCTGTCAATGTGCATTCCTGTTCAAGTTGACTTTTCCATGTGTATGAGAATTTAAAAAGGCATCCTGGGGTGGCACTGTGGGTTAAGGCACCAGACTGCAAAGCCGTTTGAACTGCAAGGCCGGTGGTTCAAGCTCACCAGCTGCTCCTCAGAAACCCTATACAGGGTCGCTATGTGTCGGAATTGACTCTACGGCACTTGACAACAAGAAGTAAGGTGTCAGAAACTAGTCCTACCTCAGCCACCATGTGATCCCCAACTAACTACTGCACCTGTCTTGATCTCAAGAGTTCTCATTGCAGAGTTTGGTTGTAATTGTTATTACATTGAATGACTAGTGTTTTCTGTCCCAGGATGGTGGTAGTAGTGGTGATGATGTGCCATGGAGTTGGTTCCAACTCATAGCGTCTCTGTATAGGGTTTCCGAGCCTGTAAATCTTTATGGGAGCAGAAAACCTCATCTTTCTCCTGCGGAACTGCTGGTAGGTTCAAACTGCTGACCTTGAGGTTAGCAGCTGAACTCGTAACCACTACGCTAACAGAGCTCCAGGATGATAACATAATGTAATTGTTGAATTCATAGTTTTAGAAAGTGAAAAATAATTTATCACCTCTTAAGTCTTAGCATAGTATTAACTCATTTGTGTGTGTGTGTATGTGTGTGTGTTGTTGTTGTTGTTTTTAACTGTAACCATTATACTTTTGTTTGTTTATGGAAAAGATCATCAGTTTTACATTCAACAAATCATACACTTTGTTTCATCTCAATGGTTGCAGTTCCTTTCATACAACAACAATTATCTTGCTTCCTCCAAGTGGTTACTCATGTCCAGATATCCTCTTTCAAGCTCTTGTAAATTTGTGGAATATATATATATATATATATATATATA